TCTGGACTTGGCAGCAGCATGAGGAGGCGGTATATAGGGGCCCATGGCAGATTAGGGGCCTGGCAGCAGCTATGTGAGGCCCGTAATCTGCCAGCACCCTATGTCAAAAAATTTAACACACCAGCAGTGTGTGAAGAGACCTGAAAGTGGCACATGGCAGCAGAGTGTGGCGATGGAGACAGCAGCAATGGGAGGCCGTACAGGGACCCATGAGAGACTGGGACTTGGCAGCAGCAGCATGAGGAGGAGGCGGTATATAGGGGCCCATGGCAGATTAGGGGCCTGGCAGCAGCTATGGAGGCCCGTAATCTGCCTGCACCCTATGTCAAAAAATCAACACACCAGCAGTGTGTGAAGAGACCTGAAAGTGGCACATGGCAGCAGAGTGTGGCGATGGAGACAGCAGCAATGGGAGGCCGTACAGGGACCCATGAGAGACTCTGGACCTGGCAGCAGCATGAGGGAGGCGTATATAGGGGCCCATGGCAGATTAGGGGCCCTGGCAGCAGCTATGTGAGGCCCGTAATCTGCCTGCACCCTGATGTTAAACACCAATGTTACCCTGAAAGTGGCACATGGCAGCAGACAGGGACAGCAGACACCTCAGGCCAGAGACTCTTCGTGGCACTGGCAGCAGTGAAAAGGCGATGTCTCCCCCCGTTTCTGACCGCCCTCTGTTAGCTCTTCCTCACTGTACACAGTGGGGCTGAGCCCACAGCATGCGATATTAGGGGCCTCGCATGTGGTGAGTCTGCCTGAGAACATGCAAAAACAGGGGCAGGTAGAGGACACGTGATTTCAGTGGGCTTGGTCCCCGGGCCATGCCAACTAACGGTTGTGTCTGACGTACCCACCTGACCGTTGGCTGTAGGTGTCAGAGGTGACCTGGGAAGAGGAAGACGACCGAACGACCGAGCCAACCAATCAATGACGGCAGGGTTGTCGGTGGAGACACACGACTGCTGGATGACACCGGGAGCACTGGCCTCTGGCTGCGAATACTGCTGCCTCGACCCCTTCCTCTGCTGCCACGTCTGTCTGCTCGCTCCTAAAACATTGCCTCCTCTCTGCCACTCCTCTGCATGTTGTCTGACACATATTTATTTAATTCAACGATTAGGTGTCCCTGAGTAACAATTCTCTGGCACTCAGTAACAATTCTGTCTGTCCCTGAGTATGAATTCTGTGGCCCTGAGTAACAATTGTGTGTCTGTGCAAGTAACAATTCTGTGTCTGTGCAAGTAACAATTTTGCAAGTAACAATTTTGTCTGTGAGAGTAACAATTCTCTGGCACTCAGTAACAATTCTGTCTGTCCCTGAGTAACAATTCTCTGGCACTCAGTAACAATTCTGTCTGTCCCTGAGTAACAATTCTGTCTGTCCCTGAGAGTATGAAATTCTGTGGCCCTGAGTAAGAATTCTGGCACTCAGTAACAATTTGTCTGTCCCTGAGTATGAATTCTGTGGCCCTGAGTAACAATTGTGTGTCTGTGCAAGTAACAATTCTGTGTCTGTGCAAGTAACAATTTTGTGTCTGTGAGAGTAACAATTCTCTGGCACTGGCAGTAACAATTCTTCTGTCTGTCCCTGAGTAACAATTCTCTGGCACTCAGTAACAATTCTGTCTGTCCCTGAGTATGAATTCTGTGGCCCTGAGTAACAATTCTGTCTCTGTGCGAGTAACAATTCTGTGTCTGTGCAAGTAACAATTTTGTGTCTGTGAGAGTAACAATTCTCTGGCACTCAGTAACAATTCTGTCTGTCCCTGAGTAACAATTCTCTGGCACTCAGTAACAATTCTGTCTGTCCCTGAGTAACAATTCTCTGGCACTCAGTAACAATTCTGTCTGTCCCTGAGTAACAATTCTCTCTGGCACTCAGTAACAAATTGTGTGTCTGTGCAAGTAACAATTCTGTGTCTGTGCAAGTAAACAATTTTGTGTCTGTGAGAGTAACAAATTCTCTGGCACTCAGTAACAATTCTGTCTGTCCCTGAGTAACAATTCTCTGGCACTCAGTAACAATTCTGTCTGTCCCTGAGTATGAATTCTGTGGCCCTGAGTAACAATTCTGTCTCTGTGCGAGTAACAATTCTGTGTCTGTGCAAGTAACAATTTTGTGTCTGTGAGAGTAACAATTCTCTGGCACTCAGTAACAATTCTGTCTGTCCCTGAGTAACAATTCTGGCACTCAGTAACAATTCTGTCTTCCCTGAGTAACAATTCTCTGGCACTCAGTAACAATTCTGTCTGTCCCTGAGTATGAATTCTGTGGCCCTGAGTAACAATTCTGTCTCTGTGCGAGTAACAATTCTGTGTCTGTGCAAGTAACAATTTTGTGTCTGTGAGAGTAACAATTCTCTGGCACTCAGTAACAATTCTGTCTGTCCCTGAGTAACAATTCTCTGGCACTCAGTAACAATTCTGTCTGTCCCTGAGTATGAATGTGGGCCTGAGTAACAATTCTGTGGTAACAATTCTGTGTCTGTGCACTGAGTAACAATTGTGTGTCTGTGCAAGTAACAATTCTGTGTCTGTGCAAGTAACAATTTTGTGTCTGTGAGAGTAACAATTCTCTGGCACTCAGTAACAATTCTGTCTGTCCCTGAGTAACAATTCTCTGGCACTCAGTAACAATTCTGTCTGTCCCTGAGTATGAATTCTGTGGCCCTGAGTAACAATTCTGTCTCTGTGCGAGTAACAATTCTGTGTCTGTGCAAGTAACAAATTTTGTGTCTGTGAGAGTAACAATTCTCTGGCACTCAGTAACAATTCTGTCTGTCCCTGAGTAACAATTCTCTGGCACTCAGTAACAATTCTGTCTGTCCCTGAGTAACAATTCTCTGGCACTCAGTAACAATTCTGTCTGTCCCTGAGTATGAATTTCTGTGGCCCTGAGTAACAATTGTGTGTCTGTGCAAGTAACAATTCTGTGTCTGTGCAAGTAACATTTTGTGTCTGTGAGAGTAACAATTCTCTGGCACTCAGTAACAATTCTGTCTGTCCCTGAGTAACAATTCTCTGGCACTCAGTAACAATTCTGTCTGTCCCTGAGTATGAATTCTGTGGCCCTGAGTAACAATTCTGTCTCTGTGCGAGTAACAATTCTGTGTCTGTGCAAGTAACAACAATTTTGTGTCTGTGAGAGTAACAATTCTCTGGCACTCAGTAACAATTCTGTCTGTCCCTGAGTAACAATTCTCTGGCACTCAGTAACAATTCTGTCTGTCCCTGAGTAACAATTCTCTGGCACTCAGTACAATTCTGTCTGTCCCTGAGTAACAATTCTCTGGCACTCAGTAACAATTGTGTGTCTCTGTGCAAGTAACAATTCTGTGTCTGTGCAAGTAACAATTTTGTGTCTGTGAGAGTAACAATTCTCTGGCACTCAGTAACAATTCTGTCTGTCCCTGAGTAACAATTCTCTGGCACTCAGTAAACAATTCTGTCTGTCCCTGAGTAGTATGAATTCTGTGGCCCTGAGTAACAATTCTGTCTCTGTGCGAGTAACAATTCTGTGTCTGTGCAAGTAACAATTTTGTGTCTGTGAGAGTAACAATTCTCTGGCACTCAGTAACAATTCTGTCTGTCCCTGAGTAACAATTCTCTGGCACTCAGTAACAATTCTGTCTGTCCCTGAGTAACAATTCTCTGGCACTCAGTAACAATTCTGTCTGTCCCTGAGTAACAATTCTGTGGCCCTGAGTAACAATTCTGTCTCTGTGCGAGTAACAATTCTGTGTCTGTGCAAGTAACAATTTTGTGTCTGTGAGAGTAACAATTCTCTGGCACTCAGTAACAATTCTGTCTGTCCCTGAGTAACAATTCTCTGGCACTCAGTAACAATTCTGTCTGTCCCTGAGTATGAATTCTGTGGCCCTGAGTAACAATTGTGTGTCTGTGCAAGTAACAATTCTCTGTGTCTGTGCAAGTAACAATTTTGTGTCTGTGAGAGTAACAATTCTCTGGCACTCAGTAACAATTCTGTCTGTCCCTGAGTAACAATTCTCTGGCACTCAGTAACAATTCTGTCTGTCCCTGAGTAACAATTCTGTCTGTCCCTGAGTATGAATTCTGTGGCCCTGAGTAAGAATTCTCTGGCACTCAGTAACAATTCTGTCTGTCCCTGAGTAACAATTCTCTGGCCTCTGAGTAACAATTCTGTCTGTCCCTGAGTATGAATTCTGTGGCCCTGAGTAACAATTGTGTGTCTGTGCAAGTAACAATTCTGTGTCTGTGCAAGTAACAATTTTGTGTCTGTGAGAGTAACAATTCTCTGGCACTCAGTAACAATTCTGTCTGTCCTGAGTAACAATTCTCTGTCCCTGAGTAACAATTCTCTGGCACTCAGTAACAATTCTGTCTGTCCCTGAGTAACAATTCTCTGGCACTCAGTAACAATTCTGTCTGTCCCTGAGTAACAATTCTGTCTGTCCCTGAGAATGAATTCTGTGGCCCTGAGTAAGATTTCTCTGGCACTCAGTAACAATTCTGTCTGTCCCTGAGTAACAATTCTCTGGCACTCAGTAACAATTCTGTCTGTCCCTGAGTAAAAATTCTGTGGCCCTAATAACGTTTCTGTGGCCCTAAGTAACAATTCTCTGGCACTGAGTAACAATTCTGTCTGTCCCTGAGTATGAATTCTGTGGCCCTAACTAGCGTTTCTTTGTCCCTAAATAACGATTCTGTGGCCCTCATTAACAAGTCTGTGTCCCTGAGTAATGGTTCTCTGTCCCTAAGTAACTTCTCTCTGTCCCCAATTCTCGTTTCTGTGGCCCTAACTCTGTCCCTGTCCCTAGTACAGAGCGGTCTGCCTCTGTTCAATGACTGCAGGCAAATGAAGATTTCCAAAATGGCCGCTATAGGGGGGCAGCGCGCCTTGTCTGCGCGCCTTCCCCGACATCCCCGCTCCGTCGCCGCACATGTCAGCCGCCATTTTCGGAAAAATTTCGATTAAATTCATAGGTTAGGGGGGGGGGCTACAGTGCGGGTGTCATGCATGACCGCAAGCAATTGTCATTCAAAGTGTGATAGCGCTGAAAGCTGAAAATTGGCCTGGGCAGGAAGGGGGTGAAAGTGTCCGGACTGGAAGGGGGGAAAGTGTCCGGACTGGAAGGGGGTGAAAGTGTCCGACCTACTGGAAGGGGGGGAAAGTGTCCGGACTGGAAGGAGGGGGGAAAGTGTCCGGACTGGAAGGGGGGGGAGGAGAAAGTGTCCGGACTGTAGGGGGTGAAAGTGTCCTCCCGGACCTGGAAGGGGGGGGTGAAAAAGTGTCCGGACTGGAAGGGGGTGAAAGTGTCCGCGGACTGGAAGGGGGGGAAAGTGTCCGGACTGGAAGGAGGTGAAAGTGTCCGGACTGGAAGGGGGGGGAAAGCGTCCGGAATGGAAGGGGGGGAGAAAGCGTCCGGAATGGAAGGGGGGAGAAAGTGTCTGGAATGGAAGGGGGGTGAGAAAGTGTCTGGACTGGAAGGTGGGGGGAAAGTGTCCGGTCACAAAGGAAGGGGGTGAAAGTGTCCGGACTGGAAGGGGGGGGAAAGTGTCGGGACTGGAAAGGGGGGGAAAGTGTCGGGACTGGAAGGGGGTGAAAGTGTCCGGACTGGAAAGGGTGAAAGTGTCCAGAACTGGAAGGGGGGTGAAAAGTGTCCGGACTGGAAGGGGGTGAATTTGTCCGGACTGGAAGGGGGTGGGATTTGTCCGGACTGGAAGGGGGTGAAAGTGTCTGGACTGGAAGGGGGTGAAAGTGTCTGGACTGGAAGGGGGTGAAAGTGTCTGGACTGGAAGGGGGGTGAATTTGTCCGGACTGGAAGGGGGGTGAAAGTGTCTGGACTGGAAGGGGGGAAAGTGTCCGGACTGAAAGGGGGTGAAAGTGTTCGGACTGGAAAAGGGGGGGAAAGTGTCCGAACTGGAAGGGGGGAAAGTGTCCGACTGGAAGGGGGGGAAAGTGTCCGCGGACTGGAAGGGGGTTGAAAGTGTCCGGACTGGAAGGGGGTGAAAGTGAAAGTGTCCGGACAGGAAATGGGGGAAAGTGTCCGGACTTGAAGTGGTTAATTAGATAACTCATGTCATGTGTATTTTAGTAGCTGTGGGGGGGCAGTATCTTGCCGCATACTGAGACAAGGTAAGAATACCGCTTAGTGAATTCTCCCCTCATGGTCGAAAAGTTCGCGGTTGAACTTTCATTAGGTTTGAATGTTTTAACCGGGAATATGACAGGGGGGGTGTTTCGGGGGCCAATCGCTACTCCCTCAGCATTGCTTTCTGCATCGTTGCACAGTGAATAAAGGGCAAGCCGACACCTGTGCATTAAGGGGTGCTGACACCCCTCAGGGGTGGGCCCATGATGCTTTGGCACTCACAGTAGAGTCCTCAGGTCTTTCCTGTTGAGTGCCTCCAGGCTTTATATAAACTGGAAAACTGAGGACATCTGATGGCAAAAAAAGTGGTACTGCAGGGTATTTTATTGAAAACTAGGGACAGGTTCCCTTTAATGTGAAGGGTAGCTTTTAACCCAGGACCCATAACATTGACAGTGAACATCCTTTAGAAAGAAAGTAACAACTTTGGATTGTAATTTTATTTTAAATCCTTCCGTGATTTCATATTTTACATGGCTCACATGATTTGACAATTTCCCTCTCCCTGTCACAGCATATTGGAGACGGCTGTAAAGAAGACCCCAGCAGTTCTCTAACACCTAACACAGAGGTGTGACCAGTCCCCACAGGTTTCGTTCAGAAATCAATTATAACTCCTGGCCTCCGATCTCAGCACTCTGTCAGAGAGACTCAGGGGAGGCAGATGGAGTTTTGTTTGCAGGTACAGGCTTGTTGGTTTGTTCTCCGGGACATGGAGAGTCTACAGGTCTGTGTTCCCAGCCAGCAGTACATCTCACACATGCGGCGTGTGAACAAGGAAAGGTGCGAGAAATTCATTACCTTAAAACTCAGAGCATAGGACACGTTGAAAAACTATTGTGGATGTTTGTTTTATAGAATTGTACGGATTAAAGTGGAACTCCTGGTATGTATTTTTTTTTGCATAGTTACATTGGTCCAGCATGACCGATGGAGGCATGCATATTCCATAGATGTTGAGGGTTCAGATCCAGGTCCTGACAACTTACTGTTGTAGCTACCGATGATAGCAATGCCTATTCCATAGCTGGCCGATCCCCATGGAAGCAGAGAATTATGTTACAGTCAGGGGTCAGGCTCGGAGAGCAATGACCAGCTGAAGAAGTATACAGACAGGTTACCCTGGTGGATGATGTGACCTCAACCCAGCTGCAGGGTCTAAGCACTAACTGGCATTCGCCAGAGCTCCTGATGATGAAGATGGCTTTTGCTGCATGTTAGTACCAGATCGAGGTCCTCAGGATTTCCCCACGAGGATGTGAGCAAGCCGGGGATCACTAAGTTAGTAACAGGTGGTTGCCAACTGGGATCAAGCGGAATCGTAGACAAGGAAAAAGCCAAAGGTTGATAACAAGAGTTGCAGGATGGATTGAGTGAAAGCATAGTCGAGGAACAAGCCAAAGGTCAGTAATGAGTAGTAGTAAAGATACGGATGGCAGCAGGAGAGACAAGAGCAAGTCATCGGCTGGAGGGAGCAAGTGCACAGGCATGGCTTAAATAGGAAGTTAATGGGAGGTGCAAGGAATTCAAGGTTCACCAGAAACAAGACACAAGGCAAAATTGTCAAAAGAAACAGAGAAGGTGCTTTCCAACATATCGGGAGGATCAGCAAGAAGAAGCTACTGCTGGGCACAGCAGATGTTGAGAGTTCAGATCTAGGTCCTGACAACTTACTGTGGTAGCTACCGGTTTTGAGTATGGGGGTTGTGGACTCTGAGGAACTCTCTGTATGTATTTTTTTTTTTTGCATAGTTACATTGGTCCAGCATGGACCGATGGAGGCATGCATATTCCATAGATCTTGTGGGTTCAGATCCAGGTCCTGACAACTTACTGTGGTAGCTACCGATGATAGCTATGCCTATTCCATAGCTGGTCGGTCCCCATGGAAGCAGAGAATTATGTTATGTCAGGGTCAGGCTTGGAGAGCAATAACCAGCTGAATAAGTATACAAACAGGTTACCCTGGTGGATGATGTGACCTCAACCCAGCTGCAGGGTCTAAGCACTAACTGGCATTCACCAGAGCTCCTGATGATGAAGATGTGTTTTTTTGCTGCATGTTAGAACCAGATCGTGGTCCTCAGGATTTCCCCACGAGAGGTGAGCAAGCCGGGGTCCACTAAGTCAGTAACAAGTGGTTTTTGACTGGGATCAAGCGGAATCGTAGGCAAGGAAAAAGCCAAAGGTCATAAACGAGTAGTAGTGAAGATACGATGGCAGCAGGAGAGACAAGAGCAAGTCATCGGCTGGAGGGAGCAAGTGCACAGACAATGGCTTAAATAGGAAGTTAATGGGAGGTGCAAGGAGTTCAAGGTTCACCAGAAACAAGGCACAAGGCAGAATTGTCAAAAGAAACAGAGCTTTCTAACATATCAGGAGGATCAGCAAGAAGAGCTACAGCTGGGTGCAGCAGATGTTGAGAGTTCAGATCTAGGTCCTGACAACTTACTGTGGTAGCTACCGGGTTTGAGTATGGGGGTTGTGGACTCTGAGCATGTCTCAACATGTGTAACATGAAAGATGGACTTAGTGCTTAATAACATTTTACTGCTTTGATTCACAGTGTCATATTGTTCACTAACTCCAGCAGAACACTGTTTCAGCTCTTCTCCAGGTTCTTCCCTCATCAAGTCCTTCCCGGCTCTCCTTCAGCTCTACAGCTCATCAGGCCACTAGAGGTGCACCTGGGGTCTGGTGGGCACCGGGCATAATGATGTGGCAGTGCAGTGGCCACACAGTGGTGTGTCGATGGAGGTGGTGGGCACCCTCTCCCTGAGCTCTGAAGTGTGTTGCTCTGTTTGACTTTGATTGGGCCACTGTTGCACAAACACAAGGGGAGAAGTGGGCACTCTGTAGAATGCATGGTATGGAAGGGTGCTGTTGGTTAGCTGGGGGCTGGGGGAGGACCAAAGCAGTGAAGGACCTGAAAGAGTGGCCCACAGACTTCAGAAAAAGGAAAAATATATAATAAAAGAATGCATTCCAAAAAATACTTGAATTTTCCAGGGATGGGGATGGTTTTTTGGGGCAGGAGTACGAGTCCAGAGTTGGACTCAACCTGCCTTTGCTCACCTACTGGTCTGTTTGTATGGGCATGTGGCTCCCTCCCCATGTATAAGTGCATTGGTGGTTCACTTTAGGGCCTAGCTGACATGAGTGATGATGTCAATATAGCATGAACAGGCCATTTTTTGTAGCATCCGTAGCTTCCAGGTGCCTTCCTGTCCTGAGACGCTCACGCACCAAATCAACCCCCTATTTTCCTGTATGGGTGTCACAGGACAGAAAATGAGGGAAAATCTCCCTTGTGGGCCACAGACAGATATGAAAACTTGACATAAATCATAACTCTTCCCTACTACATATCCCAAAAAAAATGGCGATGACTTGAGCTATGATAAACCTCAGTCTCTTTTCAGCAGAGAAACAAGCCCCCCTATTGGGGCCACTACACCCACCCGCTCCTACCCCAACGACCAGCCATTTGTGACATATGACCGCGCAGTAGCGCAGTGTGCCGGCTAGGCTGCGGCTTGCATCAGTTCCTTTCCCTCGTCTCTCTAGAGGTGCAGAGGCGCGTGGATAATTTTGCACACTGCATTTAATTAACCAGTTCCCGGGGATAGACATTTGCACGTTTCTTTTCCTTTGAAGTGATCTCCCACCAGGTAGTGTTCTCAGCGATTCAAAGAAACAGATTTACGAGGTGGGAATGTTGTCCTACATTGTAGCTCATCGCTGGCTGGCTCATCACAGTCCTGTTTCATGTACATTTTTGCTCCGCAACGCCAGCAACACGCGACTCCCACTTTTCTTTCTGGAACAATAGCGCACATCTTCATTTCGAGGCAATCCCCATTGTGGATAATTAGAAAGGAACTTTAGGATGACTTTCTAAAAAAATTACCTTACTGTATAATATTATGTATATAGGAAAAAGAATTTATACAGAATTTTTAAAATGCCTGGGCAGTGGCCGAATATATGGGACAGTACCAGGACAGGTTCATCCAGTGCCCCAGGGCAAGGATGCAGAACTGCGCACCCTCCTCCATTCTTTGAACCCCCTGCTCCAGCTGTCCATGGTTGGCAATGGGCAATTGCCCATACGTGGCCAATTGCTTGCTTTCTTGAAGTTTGCATGTTTCTCCCTGTGCCAGATGTGGGTTTCCTCCAACACTCCATGTTCTTCCAACACTCCCAAAGACATGTTGGTAGCCCACATGGAAGAAAAA